TATGTAACCCACAGGTGAGTGTCAGAGATTCTACTTTCTATTTACCATAACGAAACATATAGCGGAAGCATCCAAGACTGAATTATGCGCACGCACCCCCAAATGGAAGTGGGTCCGTCATTTCGTTCTCTGGACAGAATCAATAAGCTGCTCGGCTCTCGCCAAGAGCGGCTTAAAAAGTGGCGATACAAAACGGTCTACTTACCAGCTGACCTAGACTTACCATGGCCTGGGTGAATTTCATTCTTTCCTCCATAGGGTGGTATGTTTGTGTTAATGATAAGAAGGGTCAGGCTTGAAGAGTTCTCGTACAGAGTAATGTTCAGCTCGATAATGTAACTACTGTCGGCTGATAGCGTTTGTGGATTGAGCACAAATGCAGGAGAGTTAAATTCTGAAATATCAATGTGATGACGAAATCAGACATCGACATAATTATCAGCTTGTTATCATATATTTAAGTTGAGAATCTTTATGCTGGCCTTCAATCACACTACTGATAAATTATACAATTAATCATAACAAAGAAATCTTAGGAGGAACAATCAACATACATGTAAAATTTGAGAAAAGATCCCTGAGAAATAGCGACAACAAGAATTGTTTAAGGCTGGACGACAGGGATGAAAAACGGACAATGGACCTCAGACTACAAACAAAGAAGGATTTGAATAGCACACCATCTGATGATGGTGGGATTAAAAAAGCATGTAGTGGAAAAAACAGGTCACAGGGACATACAAAATTAATTATTGGAATATTATTCAAGACATATATCCACATATGAAGCTTGATTACTTTGTATCAACAGGGTAATTGAGCTAAATGCAAAAGAAAATGAGTGGATCAACAGAATTGCTAATCATCTAACACTGGGGGTTCCTTTCACTTTGATACGTAGCAGGGGCATACAAATACCAGACCACACTCACCGCTCTCCAGCCTGGATTGCCAGTCAGGGAGTTCTGTTCTAGCTTTGGTTGCAGTGTTAAACCGAGAAACATTCCAAGAGTAACTGATGGTGGCCAGCTCAGCGTAGGTACAAGAGGAACATTCAGCTCTTAGTGATAATATGGAGCTGCTTGCAGTCTTTGGTAAGCAATTTAGACGGCAGCTGAAATACGAAAATATGGCTTCAACTGTGAGGTCCAAATTCAAGATAAGATTATGATATTATGCTAGCTGACACTTTATGCCATTGATTTACGTCAAGTGTATCACCTTTGAATTTTTTTTAATTGAATTGTCTAATATTTCAGATTTACCTAGTTTCATTAATGAAAAAATGGGCAAATATCTGGTCAACATATCTGCATCAAGAAATTTCAACATATCTGCATCAAAAATTTTGAACATCTCTCAAATAGTTACTTGAGGTGGATTATAGTCCATCAAAAAGTCATTAAGCAAGGTCTCTTGATCCATGTGACCTCGAGAAAGTTCAAGGGTTTCTACAGTTTTTGTAGCATTTCATGCTAGCAAGTTACTCACTAAATATCATTACTTAGGCCTTTTTGTTACCAAGTTATTGCACAATGTATTGTAAAGCATCCCTAGTGGCTATATACAGATTTGGTTCTCTTTTCAAACTTTAAAAGTGCATTTTGATAATTCATATCAAAACCATCTGGTTGATGGTTAAAAAGAAGAAGATGTTTTCAGGAGCCTCAAATGTTACTCGATCCTTTTTTACCATCCTTGTCCTCCAAAACTGAATCATCATCACCTAGAGATACCTCCTGCCGAATTTGGTTGTAATTGGCCTTGTGGTTTATGAGAAGAAGTTTTAAAAAAGTTTATTGATGCAGGCACCACACAAAGGAGATATTAAGAGAGATTGCAATTGCAGACTTTGCCATTTGGGCAAGGTAAGCTAAAATATGAATTTACTGAACAGAAGTGCACCACAACTGTACGTTAAACTTACCTGATGTCAATAGCTGGTGGATTACCTGGAACAGACTGAATTCGTTGCTGAAAGTAGCTGAAAGATTGATTAGCACTGACTCTCAAGGATATGATGAATCCTAGGGAGTCTGAAACGTCCGAGTCACTGATTTCAAGTCTCGCATATCCATTAGATGTTTCCCTGAAGTTAGAACAAGACTGTTGTTGAAGATAGGTTGCAGTGGTGTTCCTAAGCAGCTCCTCTTCAAGGGCCAGCGCATTCCAGTCTGTGAGGGACAGAGCTTCGATTTGCACAGGAGCATCAACAAGATGGCCAATAAATGCAGTGTATGATGAGCGAGGTTTTTCACAAATCTTAGAGTAATTTCCTCCATCGCTTTCAGGAATATATGTCTTTACTGTATTGATGATGAATCTTAAACTTGTCAAATGTGTCAATTCATTCTGGACTGTGTTGACCCAGCTCTGAACCTCAGTCTTGATTGTCGGCAACGATGAAGACGATACAGCGTAATCAGTGAATGTAATAAAGTCGTTGAAATAGTTCACTTTCTCATTGATGATTTCAATCAAGTTGATCAAATCAGCGTACATGTCATCAAACCTTATCACCTGACTGTCAAACTGTATGAACTCATCCGTGAAATTTCCGTTAGCTGTCATGTTGCAGAAATCCTCTTTGGGAGGGTTAGTATTGAAGTAGGTTATGAACATCAAGTTGTCTACAGCAAGAACCAGGTCATCAATTCGGTTTAAGACAAAACTATGGTTCAGCCAGGGCTGTTGCGATATCTCATCTGGGAATAGGATTTCTTCATTGATGTCGACATTAAGTGTGTCGTAAATCGAACCTATGGCGATCAGTGTACATACCCAGTCGAGTTGAAGTGTAGCTGTATATCCTGGGCCTTTACTCATGTCGTAAGACAGGGTGAGTCCATCTATAACGTTAACACCCACGCCAAGCATACGTACAGACCCGCCAACAATGGCCGCGTTAGGTGGAGGATAGGACACACTGATGTACATTTCGTCTTCAAGCCAGATCGGTGAATGACGATTGTAGTACACTCTCAGAACTACTTTATATAATCCTAATTCCGAGGCATCGAAGGGAATATTGGGTTCTCCGACATGGAGAATATGCGTCACATTGCCGGATATTAGATCAATGTTGTACACGTTCCATTCATAGCGTGGATGGATATGGATGTCTTCACAAATTCCATCCCTGTATATTTGTACTATTGAGTAGATGTCGATATTTGCGCCTATGTAGATCGACATCGGAGTGTCCATGGAAGAGTACAGGGGATCTAATACATTGTTGCTGAAACAGGTTGGTAACACTGAAACCACAGAAACATTAACAGGATTTAAAGTACATGAGAGTGTACAGTAAATGTATTTATATTAATTGTAATCTTTTTTCAAAGGGGTATTTATTTACCATTTTATTTTCCAAAGTGGAGGGGTGGAAGCTGTAATCTGTTTTCAAACGAGGCGAAAACAGAACACTACCTCTAAAAGCAGGTTAACATAGGTAGCCTTCATTAAATAACTTTACATAATATGTAATGAAATATTACAAATATCTTTACATAAT